GTATGTGAGACCCCAGAATAAAATAACTTACGAATGTAAATATTAGCAAAAAATGTGTTTGTTTAAAATATTAAAAAAAAAAAAATAGAAAAATCAACTTGTCTTTGTTTTATCTCCAATAATTGAGGAGTAAGATGCAAAGAGGCCACTTCTATTATAACTGCTTTCTGAGATATTGGCGTTAAAGTTTTTGATGTGTTATAACTTTCTTGTTGTTGAAGTAGGTGTATAAAAAAGTAGTATTGTTGTAGTATTGAAAAGAATTGTCTACTATGGAAAAAAATTGTTAGATTACCAGAATTCGACCCTAATTTAACTGTAATAAACGCTTTCGTCGAAAAATATGTTACCTATGTTCTTTCTGAGTTACGATATTCTTGTCCAGTGGCCCAAATTATACAAAAAAAAAATNCTATGTTCTTTCTGAGTTACGATATTTTTGGAAAAATAAAGGAGATCATATTCTTGTCCAGTGGCCCAAATTATACAAAAAAAAAATTTATTCAAAAATGTAATTTTAATTTCGTAAAATTGTGTTTTATACAAGTAGTATTTAGTTCCTTCAAACGATGTATTCAATGTACATACATCATGAAAATTTTGTATGTACAAAATTCCTTAGGCGCCGAACGCCGCCGCCGCCGCCGCCGCGCCGATATTTTCGTAACTCAGCGGCGGCGCGTAAGGAATGACAAAAAACGGCGACGGCGGCGCCGTAGCTCGGCGGCGTATACCTCTAATATGTAGGCATTAAAACTCGTTTTTACGGAGTTTTTATTTACGGTTGGCTGAATTTTCGACAAGGCACGGTTTAAATGTGTGTACGTTTGTATAAACGCTGCAGTAAAATTTAGAGACAGTCCGGCAAAGCGCTGGTTCCGAACTACATAGTTCAGAAGTATCTCTGAACTACTTACTCCAAACGGCTTCAGAGGGGGACAGTTGAAACTTGCGGTATGCTATGTAGTTGCGCTGTCGTCAAAGTGAACATGTGAAAGCTGAGAAGCAAATGTACAAATTCTGATTCCTCGTACAATACGTTTAATAGCCCATTAAATTCCAGGGTTATAATTTGCACGTTTTGAGTGGCTAAAGAATCGCGTTGATTTTTAAAACTTTTTTTTCTGACTGCATTACGAATTTTTTCCATAGAAAATATATTCGACCAATTTTTTTGTATGCAAAAATGTGTCATGCACATTATTTAATGGGCTATTAAACTGCATACTCGAAAAAATTCTAAAAAATCTGAATAAAAGTTTAAGGTTTAGCTGAAACTTTGCAGATATATAATTTTTGCATAAAGTTTGAAATGTGGATTTATTTATTTATTTATTTATTTATAGAAAATAGTCAAAACTTATCAAAATGATGATGACTTAGGCTTTCTGCACATTGGTCGTCCAATCATAGTTGCTTCATCGTCACAATCATGATGCAACGATTACATGACGACTACACTTCCGCACACTCGGTCGTGATATTTCAATTCATTTGGCGTCTAAAAATTCAGTTGGAGCAGGTATTTTCTGTTTTTCTGATTGATATTTTCGCGAAATATTTACAAAAACCTGCAATTTTTTAAATATAGACTGTGCTGCAACAATTCTAGACATAATTTTTCAGTATATCTCTTCTTTTCTTTTCCTGAAATGTTTTTTTTTTAAACATGCAATTTTTTAGGTCCACCACCTGTTGCACTTGCTTCTGTCTTCGGCCGCGCTTAGGTATTATAACCCTTACTAATAGAATTCTCCTTTCTGTGTTGCCGGAGAAGAGGGGATTTCGCATATTAAAGGTATACAACATTTCTTGTGCATATCACTCCGGCTACGCGGTCCACGGTATTTTTGCGCAAAACCCACGTCGAAATTTGCAAAAAAGTGCATAGTGCAAACCGAACTTATTAATAAGATAGTGGTCGGAAATTTTAAACATTTATTTTAAATAAAGTTTTAATCCTTTGATTACACATGTATGTTAAAGTTTTTGGATTCGGGTTATGCGTTTGGACACAACAACCGAAAAAAAAATAAAAAATATGCGAAACGCAAATATATCTGTTTAAATGAACACCACTAATATTTCCTGCAAACACACATCGATTAACGCAAATTACGCAAAAAAGCTTACTCGTTCGTTTTTAGGCATGCCATTGTTACGAATTTCGAAAGTTCGAAGATACGATTCGGATTGCAGTATACTATTTCTACGATTCGTAGCAAAATCCGAATACGAAAGAGTTGTAGAATAGGGGTGTTCATCTCTAAGCAACCTCCTAGGGTTGCCACCGGGCTAAAAAATCAAATTCAACTTTAATTTAGGGCATTAGATAATTCAAATATATATCACAGTATAGGTAAGAAAATTTAATAAAACTACATTTTTGTACCTAATAATAACAGCAATATAACAGTCTTATATATTGTTAAGAGAATGTTGTATGTATTAACTTGGAGTAAATTAGCGTCCTCAATTACTGAAATATCGGAGTTTTCGTATTTTCAACGTATTGATTTTCCATACCAAGGTTATTAAGTGCACCGAGTTTGGTACAAATTGATAACTCGGTTACCAAGATATATATTTATGGTCAAAAGTGGGCGGCGCCACGGCCATTACTTATCCAAAAAATTATAATAATCTAATTTAATGCTAAGAGGTTATTCCAAGAATCGATTTTGAGTGAATTAGCTTCAATAGTTACTGATTTATCGCAGTTTTCGTGTTTCTGTTAATTACCGATATATGGAAAAAGGATTTTTAACACATAAGTAAGATATAGCCTAAGAAAGGCGCATACCGAGTTCGACACGGAAGCGGATACTGAGATACAGCATTTCATCATAATTTTCGAAGAATTTCAAAATAATCCTATTTTCTTCCAAAATTTTACTACATACCAATTTTCAACAATTTGAATATAATATTTACTGAAATATCGTAGACTTATCTAGATTGACATTTATCTAAATTTAAACGTTTGTATACCCAAAACTATTTCTCTAATCATCACTTATATAACGCCAATGTAAAGGAAAACAAATGTTTATTCCGAAATACATAACATAGTTGGGTTCGCCTTACATTCCCGCAGGTTTCTAGCAACAGGAGTGAAAGGTCCTAGAAAACATGACATTTGCTTATATCTCGAAAACTATTTTTTTTTTTTATTAAATGATCTAAATTAGTGTTAGCATATACTAGTTGCGTTTTTAGATTTTTCTTTAATACATTTTCTGAGTAAAGATATACCACTTATCTGCCATTTTCTGCGGGCAATCTTTTCACACTGCATTAGCCAAATTTCTAACTTTCAATTGAACAAAGAATAATAACGCGATCTCTCCCGGGCATACAACATATTTGTTAATATTCAATTAAAATTAAAAAAAAATACTCGTTTAAAACCGGTATTTTCGTTCCATTTAATTTGAACTTTTGCTTTGTAAAATGATTAAAAAAAATGTACCCTTAAATGCATTACTATGGTCTGTATGCGGAGCCATCACTTAAGATTATAATGCAGTAATCAAAATATTAACTTAAAACCGTCACGATCTTTCTAGAGAGCCAAAATTTATTTATAAGCAGCGTTAGAATATTCAGTTTCCGGTCAACGGTGAGCGTTCGCTGTGCAAGTTAGAAAAGTGTGCACACTGTTCCTGAATTAGTTAAAAGTTCACTAAAACGTACGACGAAAATTGAAAATGCAACTTTGTTCGTTATCACCTACGTAACCAAAATCCAATTTTACAAAAATCGTATCAGCCTTTGTTGCGAAATATTGACGTTCAAGAATTGCAAAATTATAAAAATTTCACAACAAATTTTTGTTCTCATTTTTTTTTTTTTTTTTTAATTCGTTGGGTATAGTTAAGATAACAGTTATAAGTAACTATCTGAACAGCCCTTGGCTCTTTAACACTTAATTCTTTTGCAGAGAAATCGTTAATAATGTATTTCTTGTTTTAATTTATTTTTAATAAATATTGTTAGCGTTTCAATAGGTTCTGATTTAATAAGTAATTGTGTAATACAATCCGGGACTGAAAGTGTGTGTAGGCAAGATGAGTTTTATTTACAAATATACAATACCCCATGTCGTATTACCTAAGTCATGAAGAAACCGGAAAATAAGTATCTGCACCATGTGGAAGAAAAATACTGTTGGGAAAAAAGAAAGTCGAATTTGTTTGTACTTCTATAGATATATCACCAGAAAATACTGAAAATTCGCTTCAGATAATATGCTCTTAAAATACATTTATGCAAGTTTTATGTACAGTATGTAATAAATAAATAAAATTTTTAAAGTTTCATAAATTGCACTTTATTTAAATAAGATTAACAAATAACTCAAACATTTTCAACCGACTTCAAAAAAGCGGGAGGTTATCAATTCGTAGGATTTTTTTTATTTTAGATATGCTATCGCATAACTTTGGACCACGTGAACTGATTTCTACAATTCTTTTTTTGATCGGAAAGATGGCACCTCGCGGGTCCTCCCGTAATTTGGTTTATATCCGATCATTGCATCATGCAAAAAATTAACGGTACTCTTAAATTTGTATATGAGAATTGAAGTCGGATGTGGTTTTTGCTCAAAAATTACTTCTTTAATAAAAAGTTCTTTAAACACAAGATGCGCTCAACTTTCAAAAGTAATAAAAAATGTTAAATAAAATAATGCAAAAAAAAATATTTTTTTTAAAGAAGCTTTTATTTAACATGTATGTATAATCAAAAGAATGAAGTAAAATAGTGTAACAAAAGACTTTTTAGCAAGAAAATTTTGTTAAAACTGCACCAAAATGAATAAAATATAATAAGTTAAGCTTTCATTAGAGCCTTTCACTATTTGGCTTTTAGTAATTTTAACGAAAGCTTTACTTATTTTGTTTTATTCATTTTATTGCAGGTTTAGCAAATTCGACGTACTTTTTTCCCAACAGTATTTTTCTTCCACATGGTGCATATACTTATTTTCTGTTTTCTTCATGAATTCGGTAATACGACATGGTGTATTATATATCTGTACATAAAACTCAACTTGCCTACACACACTTTCAGTCCCGGAATGTATTATACAATTACTTATTAAATCAGAACGTACTGAAACGCTAACAATATTTATTAAAAATAAATCAAAACAAGAAATACAATATTAACGATTTTTCTGCAAAAGAATTATGTGGTAACGAGCCAAGGGCTGTTCAGATAGTTACTTATAACTGTTATCTTAATTATATCCCACGAATTCAAAAAAAATATGAAAACAAAAGTTTGTTCTGAAATTTTTATAATTTTGCAATTCTTGAATGTCAATATTTCGCAAAAATAAGCTGATACGATTTTTGTAAAATTGGATTTCGGTTACGTAGGTGATAACGAACAAAGTTGCATTTTCAATTTTCGTCGTACGTTTTAGTGAACTTTTAACTAATTCAGGAACAGTGTGAGAGGGGGACTGAGAAATGTTATTTGGAATGTTCTCTATCGACTGTGACAAATTTTTTAAGATTCCTTCAAAATTTCGTCAAATGGGTAGGGTCCGACCAAACGGCATCGGCCGTTTTTGACCGATTCTTGAATTAAGTTGTGTTATTATGTTATTTGATTTGGCCGATACTAGCCTCGGCATCGGCCAATTCATCGGTCGGACTTTACAAATGGGTTATGGCCGCCTAAATCGTTCAAATACCCCTATGTGCGTCGCTAGCAGCCGGTCAATTTAGTGTTTGTACTTCACGCTGCACAGTGGGATAATCGACCCTGAAAGTGGAGATAAGTTCATACGTACATTTAATTAAAAATATTTTGATGTATTTATAAACCTAGCACCAAGTGAAATAAAAAAAAGACAAATTCGAATATAGTTTAGTGGGAATTTTTTTTATGTAGGTTTTTATGTCGTTGCCAGAGAGCGGGAAATGTTAAAATTTAGTTTTTCTCCCATAAATAATTTTTATTATTAATGATAATTTGTTAAAATCCTAATCATCATTAATTACGAATTAAGCACCACTTATATCATTATAATAATTATCCTCATCATTATCTTCATTACTATTTTCATCATCAACCTCACCCACATCATCACTTTTTTAGGTAATTTTTTATATGATAATGAATACGAATTGTACACATTTTCTCTTCAACAATTATCTACACNTTAGGTAATTTTTTATATGATAATGAATACGAATTGTACACATTTTCTCTTCAACAATTATGTACATNTAATAATTATCCTCATCATTATCTTCATTACTATTTTCATCATCAACCTCACCCACATCATCACTTTTTTAGGTAATTTTTTATATGATAATGAATACGAATTGTACACATTTTCTCTTCAACAATTATCTACACGTATTTGTTTAAGCCTAGAAGTAATTTAGAATATATAACCTTTAATAAAAATAATCATCATCTTCGCTTGCGTCATTATCATCACTATCAACATCTTCATCATCGCTATAAGGCTGAATAACTGTTGTGCTTCTTTCGGCAAATCCTGTATTTTTTTGGGGGTAGTTGTCTCATACTTGATACAAAAGGGTCGGAACTAATCAAAAATGTATTGAATATAAGTATCTTCATTCGTCTTTTTTTTTGTTGCGCTTGCGAGAAACATGTTATCTGTAGCTCTTAAAATCTTTGTTTCACGCCTCTAGAGCTTCTTCAGACAATTGACCGATAGGTAACAAAACGTGGGATATTATCTCTTATTAACCTATAGGGGACTCCAGTTAACTTTTGTTTACTTAAACAAAACGTTATTCGTGTCTTATGGACCTATTCCAACGAATTTCNAAGGGTCGGAACTAATCAAAAATGTATTGAATATAAGTATCTTCATTCGTCTTTTTTTTTGTTGCGCTTGCGAGAAACATGTTATCTGTAGCTCTTAAAATCTTTGTTTCACGCCTCTAGAGCTTCTTCAGACAAT